ACTAACCCTACTAACCCTAACTAACCCTAACTAACCCTAACTAACCCTAACTACCCTACTAACCCTAACCCTAACCCTAACCCTAACCTAACTAACCCTAACTAACCCTAACTAACCCTAACTAACCCTAACTACCCTAACTACCCTAACTAACCCTAACTAACCCTAACCCTAACTAACCCTAGCTAACCCTAACTAACCTTAACTAACCTAACTAACCCTAACTCTAACCCTAACCCTAACTAACCCTAACCCTAACAATCGCAAACAAGGATGCTGGATAATGTTAATGTTTCCAGCGCCGTACTAGAGTTCAAGTGGAAAGCTCTTTGGAAAACTATGAGGCCTGATATTTTTCAGGCACAGGCCCGGCAGAAGAAATGGTATGACCAGAAGCATATGAAAGCTCCAGAACCTGAAGTTGGGGATAAGGTGATGATGGACCGACGCAATATGGTTGTCAATCGACCCTCAAGCAAGCTTGACTACAAGAAACTATGTCTCTTTGAGGTTGATGAGAAACTTGTTGTTGCGTTCTACAGGCTGAAGCTTCCCTCTCAATGGAAAATTCATGATGACTTCCAAATATTTCTGCTGGAGTCCTATCGGGGACTGAAATACCCTCAACGCACTGAAGTCCCTCCTGCTCCAGATGAGGTCGAAGGAGAATACAGTCACGTTCCCCAAGAAATAGCTAATAGCCGATGGCAACAGGCTGGGCATCAGAAAATGTTTGTAGAGTATCGTATTGTTTGGGAGGGCTATCGTTCGGAAGACTCCTGAGAACCATATGAAATTCTGCAAGGAAGAGCTGATGAGGTCCTGAAAGTATTTCATCAAAAATACCCGCAAAAACCTCGGAAAATACTGTGAAACTTTAGGGATCCTCAAAACACAGCGTGAGTAGCTCTCTATCTCAGAAGAAATCCGGGAACAAAAACCAACTCTCCTGTACCAGGTTTTTCATCTGTCTGACAGAGTTCGGATACCATTTTTCCCTGAAAACAATGCAAGAAACGATAGAAAACCGAAGCGTGAGGAAACCCGCTTAAAAAAGACAGGGGAAAAGAGAGATTCTTGCTAACATCGAAATCTCCACTAGTGGAACGGAAGGTTCTACGACAAGAGTGGAGAATATGTCATTTTCTTTGTTTTAAAAGGCATTTCATTTTACAGTTTTCCTTCTCTGATGGAGATAGAAACAGACATATAGTTTGTACGTAATCACCAATAGAGCTACTGTTTTTCTTCTATGCCACATACTAATATTCCAGTAACACTACAGTGGACTCAAAACGATTCTACCATAAAGGGGAGTAATGTAACAAGGCCACTATGAGGCTGTTACAAAAGAACCTATTCCATCAGTTAAGGTACCGACCTTAAGTGACAGCAGCTTGTTCTTCATCGACGTGTGAAGACAAGAGCAGTTGGGCTCGTACCTTTATTCGTATAGAGGACAGGGATCTCGATGAGTAAGAAGTCTTATAAGTTAAAAATAGGGGGCTGAGCAAGCTTGGAACAGAAGTACAAAGATGGTTGATAGCACAGGGAACCCAGGATGGGAGTTCCCTACCTATGCAGTCGAATCTTTGAGGTTTCATATCTCTGCAACCGACGCTCAAAGACCATACTTTAGCACGACAGACATGATTCTGGCGGTGTCCCGGAGCCAATGGGAAATCTAATTCCAAAAACACGTTTTAATCCCCAACACTGACAACAGCTTCTGGCAAATTGCGTGATTCGACTCAGACAGAAGTTCATTCAAGGTGTCGTAGTTACTCTCCTCTCCCCTGATAGAAAATAGTTGCTGTACCCCCGACTATCAACAGGCAGACTGTCAGTCGGAAAAAGAACTTGAGCAACCGCGCTGTATTCCTATAAGCCACTCGGTGTTACCCCAGGTTGGCCTCTCATCATCAACGGATCTTTAATAAAGAGAAGACCCCTTAAAGTTATAATTTTCTAGACTTTAGAACGTTCAAACATACAAACTGCATTTTTTTCTTTCTGAACGAGTGTCATCAAAACTCACTCTCTTTATTTACACTATTCGAAAGGAAGTCACGGTTATGACTCATCATAGTACGTCAGTTACATGTGGTTGTCGATCGTCATTGACATGATCGCATATGCTTCCACCATATTGGGTCTGTCCGACAATCTTTCCGCCAATTCGTCAATCTTGACTCCTTTCTTGTAATGCAAGTGGGACACGTTTCTGATAAACCGCGAGAAGTAGGTGGCAAAGTCTCCTTTGCCTTGCCTTATGGGGACGAGTTGGTGGTGGGTGGTACTTCGGGTGTTTAGGTCTCTAAACGAGGCTTCCATGTGGTCGACGAAGGAAGGTGACGGAGGAATAGAAGTCAACAGGATTGGCATTAACAAGTGGTCTGACCTGATCAAGGGCTATTCCCTCCAAACAGCTGACCGTGTAGATAACCTTTACTGTATCATTGGCAGTGTTATCGCGGTTGATCTGGTTGGTGTTTTGTTTGATTGGTTCAATAGCGATGGTGGGGGCGTTACTAACTACCCAATACATATAGTTGAGGTCTATTCTGGCGTTTGATTCCTGGAGGACAATCCTTGAGTAAAATGTAGTCATATCTGGGTGTGTATTTTTCATTGTATGGGGCGTGTTCTGCGAAGATGAAGAATGGTTCATTGTTCAGTTGGATTTGTTAGATGATAGTAGATTGAGTTGATTGAGCCTGTTTGGTTTCGGCGAAAGATGGGGGGGCAAAAATTCCTGTGGGTAGGGTTCTCACAAAGCAGAAGTTCAGGAAGCTTTGCTGGGACATGACGGATATCCCGGATCGGTTGGGGGCAGGGGAGACCTGTGAAAGTCTTCTTTTCCTGCCTGAAGTGCTCGGTGGGGTAGAGGAGCATAATGGGGTTGGGTATGCCAGGTTATAAGTATTTTGCTACGGTCACGAAGGTTGTTTTCCTTTCTTAAGCAAGGGGTTTGGGGGGGATAAGAGTTCACCATTCAGGGACCAGAGTGACAATAACTTAATATACAAACAGATGTGCGATAAGATTTTTGTATATTATGTGGTCTACGGACATACAGGATCGTGTTTGCAAAAAGGTTTTATTGATTTTGTTGGGATTATAAGTTGTTAATGTTATGTATTAGAGTTTAGTTTATGAGTATATTTGAAAATTTTCTTTGGGTTTCCGGGTTAGCGGCTCTCAGATAAAACTAACATGTTTCAAAAGAATTCAGTTTTTGGGTTGGAAAAATATAATCCAGTAAGTTACGAGAAGTAATCCATTTGCTTAGTAATTTTGACCAACCCAAACAAGGGGAGATGGAAAACCAGACTGCAACAATACACAATATGGAATGTCGGTCATGGATCGTCACTCACATATTGGGTTGCAGGTATTGCAAATAGCGTTGTTTGAGATTGAAATCCGAATTAGTGTTAGAAAACACACCGGGCGGTAACCTGGGGGTCAGAATCCGAGTTGGCGTAAGAACACACAGCAGAGACAAGAAGTGGGATTCGCCCGATGCGGTAACCCGCAGTTCGGAATCCAAAATTTATGTATTCCATCGAAGCAGAGGATGGGGAAACGCGGCATCATTGAATTTCGTGCGCCGTCATGATCGTGGGCTCGAGACGGTGCGTTCGGTGCCATGCAGTCATCGATCGTTGTACCCGCCCGGTGAGTGGCGGTGCCGGGAGTGAACCAGGATGGGTCGCCAAGACTCACAGTGAGTTACCCTACTCAACAGCCCCCAACCACCACCTCCGCCCCCGCAATCACGACCACGACCCCCTGTACGCGCATACCTGATGATGGGAATGGACTCGGGTCGTCCTGTTCGACCCATAGCCACGGAGCCCGGAATTGTGGGGCGACGGTTCCTGGGCAACCTCAAAATCCTGTCCGACATTCCACTACTAGATTTAGTTAACCCTAGCTAACCCTAGTTCGGCCTGTAACCCTAGTTAACCCTAGCTAACCATAGTTAATCTTATCTTGGCCATGAGCCTAGCTAACACTCAACAGCTCCCCACCTACCACCTTCACCCCAGATATCACGATCATGGTGCTTTTTACCCATATACTTGACATTGGTAATGGATTCTCGTCATCTTGGCCGATGTATAGCAATGGAATTAGGAATTGTACGGCTACGGTTCTCGCCCAACCTCAGTATCCAGTCCTAAATTGCCCTACCAGAATGCGTCCTGTACAACCACCGATCGTTATGATCAAATGATAATGGCCAAAATCACCTCAAGTCTGAAAACTCCCAACGGTGCTTCTGGACAAAATCCGACCTCATGCAGCTTCAGACCCAGAGTGCTTCTCCTGCCAGGAGGCTGTGAAACACACCTTCGGTAGGCCAGTAGGCCGAAACCTGACTTTGAGAGACGGTGATGTGTTTTAGAAGAAAAGATGGTACATCCCAAATCACCGAGAGCTCAAACCCAAAATCATGAGCGCCCTACATGATTCGAAGCCAGCAAGCCACTTTGGTCAATTCAAAACTGCAGAACGTCTTCGGGCACTGTTCTTTTGCCCAAAGATGGAGAAAGATATGGAAGAATACTTACGGTATTGCGATAGCTGTCAAAGCAATAAAAGCTCAAGTCATGAGTCGTACAGGATGCTACAACAGTTAGAGGTCCTCAACACTCCTTGTACCTCCATCTCGATGGACTTTATCGTCAGCATGCCAGAATCTGAAGCCCAAACCCTCATCGGGGTTATTGTTGAACGCTTTACCAAAATCTCCTACTTCATACCACTCAAGACCGAGGCAACAATCAAGGAACTTGTGCATATATTCCTTCAAGAAATATGGCGACTATATTGACTATCCGAAGAAATCATTTTTGATCGGGACTTTAGATTCGAAAGCAAGTTCTGGTATTCATTGATGAAGCTTCTCGGAGTCAACCTCTGTCTGTCTACGGCATATCGTCCTCAAGCTGACAGGTGAACTGAGAGGGTTAATCAAATGCTAGAGCAATATTTCAGAAACTTTTGGTCCTACCAGTAGGATGATTGGGCAGGGTTACTCCCGCTTGCAGAGTACGCCTACAAAACTGCAACCCAATAGTCCACTAAAGTATCCCAGTTCTACGCGAACTATGGGTTCGAGCCTGATTCCAATTCGCATTCGCACAGAAGGAAGCTGGACAATGCCAATGTTTCCAGCGCCGTACTAGAGTCCAAGTGGAAAGCTCTTAGGAAACTATGAGGACTGATATTTTTCAGGCACAGGCTCGGCAGAAGAAATGGTATGACCAGAAGCATATGAAAGCTCCAGAACCTGAAGTTGGGGATAAGGTGATGATGGACCGACGCAATATGGTTGTCAATCGACCCTCAAGCAAGCTTGACTACAAGAAACTATGTCTCTTTGAGGTTGATGAGAAACTTGTTGTTGCGTTCTACAGGCTGAAGCTTCCCTCTCAATGGAAAATTCATGATGACTTCCAAATATTTCTGCTGGAGTCCTATCGGGGACTGAAATACCCTCAACGCACTGAAGTCCCTCCTGCTCCAGATGAGGTCGAAGGAGAATACAGTCACGTTCCCCAAGAAATAGCTAATAGCCGATGGCAACAGGCTGGGCATCAGAAAATGTTTGTAGAGTATCGTATTGTTTGGGAGGGCTATCGTTCGGAAGACTCCTGAGAACCATATGAAATTCTGCAAGGAAGAGCTGATGAGGTCCTGAAAGTATTTCATCAAAAATACCCGCAAAAACCTCGGAAAATACTGTGAAACTTTAGGGATCCTCAAAACACAGCGTGAGTAGCTCTCTATCTCAGAAGAAATCCGGGAACAAAAACCAACTCTCCTGTACCAGGTTTTTCATCTGTCTGACAGAGTTCGGATACCATTTTTCCCTGAAAACAATGCAAGAAACGATAGAAAACCGAAGCGTGAGGAAACCCGCTTAAAAAAGACAGGGGAAAAGAGAGATTCTTGCTAACATCGAAATCTCCACTAGTGGAACGGAAGGTTCTACGACAAGAGTGGAGAATATGTCATTTTCTTTGTTTTAAAAGGCATTTCATTTTACAGTTTTCCTTCTCTGATGGAGATAGAAACAGACATATAGTTTGTACGTAATCACCAATAGAGCTACTGTTTTTCTTCTATGCCACATACTAATATTCCAGTAACACTACAGTGGACTCAAAACGATTCTACCATAAAGGGGAGTAATGTAACAAGGCCACTATGAGGCTGTTACAAAAGAACCTATTCCATCAGTTAAGGTACCGACCTTAAGTGACAGCAGCTTGTTCTTCATCGACGTGTGAAGACAAGAGCAGTTGGGCTCGTACCTTTATTCGTATAGAGGACAGGGATCTCGATGAGTAAGAAGTCTTATAAGTTAAAAATAGGGGGCTGAGCAAGCTTGGAACAGAAGTACAAAGATGGTTGATAGCACAGGGAACCCAGGATGGGAGTTCCCTACCTATGCAGTCGAATCTTTGAGTTTTCATATCTCTGCAACCGACGCTCAAAGATCATGATTTAGCACTACAGACATGATTCTGGCGGTGTCCCGGAGCTAATGGAAAATCTAATTCCAAAAACACGTTTTAATCCCCAACACTAACCTCCCCAATGTCAAACTGCCGGAATGCTCTTGTTTTGCTCCGGAGTATCTTTGGGGAGTGGGAATGCGACTCAAGCTACTAAAGCAAAACTTCGGTTTACAAACACTCAAATCGGTTCTAATAAAGTTAGAATAAACAATTATTATCTGGTCGGCTGTTTCCAATAGTTCTTAAGATTCCGACTACAGCTTTCGGCAAATTGCATGATTTGACTCGGACAGAAGTTCATTCAAGGTGTCGTAGTTACTCTCCTCTCCCTTGATAGAAAATAGTTGCTGTACCCCCGACTATCAACAGGCAGACTGTCAGTCGGAAAAAGAACTTGAGGATACGCGCCGTATTTCTATAAGGTACTCGGTGTTGCCCCAGGTTGGCCTCTCATCATCAACGGATCTTTAATAGAGAGAAGACCCCTTAAAGTTATAATTTTCTAGACTTGAGAACGTTCAAACATACAAACTGCATTTTCTTCTTTCTGAACGAGTATCATCAAAACTCACTCTCTTTATTTACACTATTCGAAAGGAAGTCACGGTTATGCGTCATCATAGTACGTCAGTTACATGTCGTTGTCGATCGTCATTGACATGGTCGCATATGCTTCCACCATATTGGGTCTGTCCGACAATCTTTCCGCCAATTCATCAATCTTGACTCCTTTGTTGTAATGCAAGTGGGAAACGTTTCTGATGAACTGCGAGTAGTAGGTGGCAAAGTCTCCTTTGCCTTACCTCATGGGGATGAGTTGGTGGTGGGTGGTACTTCGGGTGTTTAGGTCTCTAAATGAGGCTTCCATGTGGTCGACGAAGAAGGTGACGGAGGAAAAGAAGTCAACAGGATTGGCATTAACAAGTGGTCTGACCTGATCAAGGGCTCTTCCCTCCAAACAGCTGACCGCGTGGATAATCTTTACTGTCTCATTGGCAGTGTTATCGCGGTTGATCTGGTTGGTGTTTTGTTTGATTGGTTCAATAGCGATTCTGAGGGCGTTACTAACTACCCAATACATATAGTTGAGGTCTATTCTGGCGTTTGATTCCTGGAGGACAATCCTTGAGTAAAATGTAGTCATATCTGGGTGTGTATTGTTCATTGTATGGGGCGTGTTCTGCGAAGATGAAGAATGGTTCATTGTTCAGTTGGATTTGTTCGATGATAGTAGATTGAGTTGATTGAGCCTGTTGGGTTTCGGCGAAAGATGGGGGTGCAAAAATTCCTGTGGGTAGGGTTCTCACAAAGCAGAAGTTCAGGAAGCCTTGCTAGGACATGACGGATATTCCGGATCGGTTGGGGGTAGGGGAGACTTGTGAAAGTCTTCTTTTCCTGCCTGAAGTGCTCGGTGGGGTAGAGGAGCATAATGGGGTTGGGTATGCCAGGTTATAAGTATTTTGCTACGGTCACAATGGTTGTTTTCCTTTCTTAAGCAAGGGGTTTGGGGGGGATAAGAGTTCACAATTCAGGGACCAGAGTGACAATAACTTAATATACAAACAGATTTGCAATAAGATTTTTGTATATTATGTGGTCTACGGACATACAGGATCGTGTTTGCAAAAAGGTTTTATTGATTTTGTTAGGATTATAAGTTGTTAATGTTATGTATTAGAGTTTAGTTTATGAGTATATTTGAAAATTTTCTTTGGGTTTCCGGGTTAGCGGCTCTCATATAAAACTAACATGTTTCAAAAGAATTCAGTTTTTGGGTTGGAAAAATATAATCCAGTAAGTTACGAGAAGTAATCCATTTGCTTAGTAATTTTGACCAACCCTAACAAGGGGATATGCAAAACCAGACTGCGACAATACACAATATTGAATGTCGGTCATGGATCATCACTCACATATTGGGTTGCAGGTATTGCGCATAGCATTGTTTGAGATTGAAATCCGAATTAGTGTTAGAAAACACACCGGGCGGTGCCGGGAGTGAACCAAGACGGGTTGCCAAGACTCACAGTGAGTTACCCTACTCAACAGCCTCCAACCACCACCTCCGCCCCCGCAATCACGACCACGACCCCCTGTACGCGCATACCTGGTGATGGGAATGGACTCGGGTCGTCCTGTTCGACCCATAGCCACGGAGCCCGGAATTGTTGGGCGACGGTTCCCGGGCAACCTCAAAATCCTGTCTGACATTCCACTACTAGATGAGGTGTCGATAATGAAATGTCACTCACATATCGGGTTGCAAGTATTGAAATCCGAATTAGGAATCGATGCGTATTCGATCGTGGTTTGAACCTGTACGTTGCTGCTTAGGTTTACAAGTGTTGCAATCTGGTTCAGTTGGGTATACAAAATACAATTCTCGGTCAAAACAAAATACATAAATCTGTATTTGGCGGTAGTTTAAACCTGGATGGGGTGGTTAGGGTTACGAGCGTTGAAGTGGGATTTTGGTTAGGGTTAGAGAATAAGGTTTTCGGTCAAAATGAAATGCATGAATCTGTATTACGAGGTGGTTTAAACCTGGCTGTTGGCGGTTAGGGTTACGAGCGCTGCCATCTGGTTCGGTTAGGTGTGCAAAATAGAATTTTTGGCAGAAATGAAATACATAAATCTGTATTTGGTGGTGGTTTGTACCTGGCTGTTGGCGGTTAGGGTTACGAGCGTCGAAGTGGGATTCGCCCAATGCGGTAACCCGGGGTTCAGAATCTGAAATTCGTGTATTTCATCGAACTACAAGATGGGGAAACATGGCATGATTCAGTTTTGAACGCCGTCATGATTGTAGGATAGAGAAGGCACGCTCGGTACGGTGCAGTTGTCGATTGTTGTGAGTGTCGGTGATGGAGTGAACCAGGACGGGTTGCCAAGACTCACAGTGAATTACCCTACTCAACAGCCCCCAACCACCACCTCCGCCCCCGCAATCACGACCACGACCCCCTGTACGCGCATACCTGATGATGGGAATGGACTCGGGTCGTCCTGTTCGACCCATAGCCACGGAGCCCGGAATTGTGGGGCGACAGTTCCCGGGCAACCTCAAAATCCTGTCTGACATTCCACTACTAGATTAACCCTAACTGCCACGCCTACCGACACGACCACCTTCAGCACCAGCAGCTCTCTTGGTAGTTATTCCACCAGGTGTCCAGATCATCCCCTTTAAGAAGTTTGAGTCAATAACCCCAACAACCAAATCATACTTCCTAAAATATTTAGGGTCTAAATCGTAGATAGCATCTTCCTATCCATTGTTACGCATGACAAGAGTCTAAGTTGACCTTTGATTACTGACATCAGTTCTAGGCACATATACCCTCAGTTCTTTGCGATTTATCTGGTGCTTTCCCTTCTCGTAATTTAAATCTTTTGCAGGAATATCGATCATCCTATAATCATCTTCCTCAACCTGAGGGAAAGCCGGTTTCAAGGAGGAGGATTCCGCACTACTCATGTTAGCACCCACACCTGCTCTGTGGAGAACGGCTAATATCCCCTGAAGTCTGTTTCATGGATCGACTAGTATATACACTGGGTTACGAAGAGTTGGATTAGTCAGAAAGGTTCTATTGGGTTCTATCGGGTCCTGTTGATTGTTAATGTATGAGTCACTTTGGATTTGTAATCGCTGGGATTTCCTTGGGTATATTAGGGGGGGTTCGTTTGTATTTCTTGTTCTTTTTCTCTTTCTTTCTTTCTTTACGCAACGTCTTCTGTACTTAAGCTGTCTATTACTATACAATACTATCTTCCTCTTCTTTATTCGAGAAGACCACCGCTTCGCTGTCCCTTATCCCGTTGACCCTTACCGACGCTATCGTCCCTTAGGACCCCCATCGCGAGTTCCCACACCGACCTCTGCTACCCCTTTCATACCCTGCGGAATACTCGCTACTCGCCCCCTTAAGAGTCTGGCATTACTGCTCTTCAAAAATTTTCGAGCTCCTCTGAATCCATAATTTATACCTCCACCGGCCAAACAGCAGGAACAGCTATATGGAAAACATTCTCAATTGCCCCCCAGATAGTTCCGACTACTTTGCCGGATGAAGTGTACTTCAGGATCAAGTTGCATAACTCGGGGAAAGTTTTCTGGGTCAAAATGTTGATGAACAAAAGTTTGTTCAGAGGATCATTCAAGTCATGAGTAAGTGGTAGGACGAGGATAAGGAATGCCTATAGACAATCGGAGTCCACCGCTGTAACTATTATAGAAGGTCGCATGAGTTTCGGGGCTACCGAATTCTCTTTCCCTTTACGAGAGCGTTTTCCAGCTGCCTGACCACCGCCATCAAGATTATCAACACTATCACTGGCAGCTTCTTTGAACTGACGGTTTTTCTGTGCCTTTGATAACTATCCTTTGTACCAACATCCACAATGAGCCACTGTAGAGCATTCGCCAGTGTTCTACGGGCATAGGCATCACCCCCAGTCCAAATTGTCAGAAAGGTATTGAGAGATGGCAGGTTCATTAAGTAAACGTATAGGGCATTAAACGCAGCCAATTCGGAGGTGTTTTTATTGACCCACCCTATATTTTGCATTTCCGTCTTTTCTCAAGGAGGCGAGTAGCGAGTATTCCGCAGGGTACGAAGAGGATAGTAGAGGTCGGTGTGTTAACTCGCAATAGGAGTCCTGAGGGACTTTAGCGTCGGTGAGGGTCAATAAGACAGGGGGCACCGAAGCGGTGGTTTTCTCGAGTAAAGAAGAGGAAGATAATATTGTATAGTAATAGACAGCGTAGGTACAGAAGACGTTGCGTAGTAAAAGAAAGAAAAGAAGAAGAACAAGAAATGAAAACGAAACCTCCTTAATATACCCACAGAAATCCTGGCGATGACATATCCAAAGTGACTCACACGCTTACGACTCACAGAACCCGATAGAACCAAATAGAACCCTTCTGACTAATCCAGCTCCTCATAACCCAGTGTATTCTCTAGTCGATGCATGAAAGTAGCCCCCCCCTTCAAGCGCGAACTCCTGCGAGCCTTAACCTTAATCTTCCCCTCCAACGGTCCAGGTTTGTCAGGGTAACGTGTATGGAAGATGTCAACGGCGGCGGTATTATCGTGGTATGAGGCGGGTTCCCAGGTAGGGTCGGTATAGCCTGTCCATTTAACAAAATATTGGAGGCCGTTGTTTCTTGTTTCCCTTGCGTCCAAGATTTCCTCAACGGCATACTCCTATTCCTGTTCAACGATATTAGGCGACGGTGGTGGTTGAGTTTGCCCCGGGACAGGGTCATTTGCAGCGGGATTTAGCAACGATACACCGAAGACGGGGTGCACTTTCATACTCTCAGGCAGGTCGATTCGGTACGCATATGGCGATATGATTTCTTTGACGGGGAATGGTCCCAGTTTCTTCCAGTCCAACTTCCGAGAGTTACGGGTGGTACGGATGTTTTTTGCTGAAACAAACACCATATCGCCGATATCGTACCGCGGAGCCGGTGTTCATTTGGTATTAGCGGCCTGCTCTTGTTGGTCTTGCGCCGTGCGGATGTTGGAACGAAGGTGTTCGTGGAGTTCTTTCATCTTCGAGCCGAAGTCTTTAGCATTGAGGCTTGGTGGGATCCTGTCAAGCGATTTGATCATCACTGTAAATCGAGGATGGAAACCATAGTTCGCGAAGAATGGTGTAGCTTTGGTGGATGCGGAGACCTGATTATTGGCGGAGAATTCTGCCATAGGGAGCCATTTTACCCCATCGTCCTGTTTATAAGAGACATACCCACGTAGATATTGTTCCATTACGGCGTTCAGCCTTTCGGTTTGGCCGTCGGTTTCCGGTTGGAAGGCGGTGTACATTCTGGCTTCGATGTCGAGGTGTTTACAGCGAGCCCTGCAGAACTTGGCTGTAAATTGCGTACCGCGGTCAGAGGTGACGTGTGTGGGTAGCCCATGGAGCTTCCATATATTTCGCAGATATAGTTGGGCGAGGTCTTCGGAGTTGACGGTGGTATTACAGGGCAGGAGATGTCGCATCTTCGTTAACCGGTCAACAACTACCATAATCGCATCGTACCCTTCACTCTCCGGTAGGCCAGTGATGAAGTCCATTGATACCTCCTGCCATGGTTGTTCGGGAATCGGTAAAGGTCGAAGTACGCCGAGTTTTCCATGGGTGTTGGGTTTGCTTCGTTGACAGGTGTGGCAGTTCCGAACGTAGCGGGCAATATAATTTCACATAAGGGGCCAGTAGTAGTCTCGACTGATGAGTTCGAATGTTTTTTCGCGTCCAGGGTGTCCGGCGGAGGCAGCGTCATGGTGAAGTTGGAGGATTCGGAGCTTGAGAGGGTCGTAGTCGGGTACATATAAACTGCCTCGATAAAGCAACCGGCGTTCAACTTCGGTGCATTCGGCAAGTGATATGTCCTTTGATTGTCGTTCACCTTTGTTCCGCATATCCAGTATCTTTTGTGAAAACGGGTCAGCGCTATATCCTTCATCGAATAGTCTATTCAGTGAGGCGTTCTTTTCAGCGGGCTCATTTGAGAAAGAACCCGTCAACAAACTTAGCTTTGCGTCAAGATTTTCTTTCTTCAAGACAACTTGACTCTGGTTTAATTGTCTTTCATCCCCCTCTCCAGGGAGATCTCCTGATCTTCTTGTCAAAGCGTCCGGTCTCCCTCCTTATTTCCCTGGTCGGTACTTGATGACAAAGTTAAATCGTGATAAATATTCCGCCCACCGGGCTTGTCTCCGATTGAGTTGTTTAGTACTCATAAAGTATTCGAGATTCTTATGATCGGATATGACGGCGATTGGGTGTGCAGCCCCTTCAAGTTCCGGTCACCATTCCTCAAAGGATCTGTAACGGGGGTCCTTTCTAAGAGAAATAGAATCGGATAGAATAGAGACGGCCGTGCAAGATAGACAATCAGGTTGCAGATTATTCAAAGATACTATCGCTAGAACACAATAATCTTTAAGGGCTCTGCTACCGATAAGAACTTGGTACTTCTTTCTGATGAAGACTGGGGAGAACAGGACTGAAGGGCGAGAATGAGCCTGAGTACTTATACTCCAAAGGCCTCTATTCTCTGCTCCTAACTTCCTTACTAAGTTCCGGTGGAGCCTTTCCTCGGTGCCGGAAACAATACCACCGCTACCCCACTTTTCTCTAAGCGTCAGCAGTTGTTTCCGATACCCAAGGCAACCACCCTTAGTCAAAGCCTTTGTAACACCTGGAGCCTTGGTTGCCACACAACCGAGGGCCTGCATGAATGAGCTGCCGCTCAGGTGTGAGCTTAGTCATTGCTGTAGAGCTTTCGCTTATTGTAGACTTCCCTAGCATAGTCCCTGCCCTTCGGCAGACTCATAATGCTTTAGAGGATACAGAGGATCACCGGGCAATCAGAGCTTCACTCTGGCCGGTCTTCTAGTCACTGGCGAGGCATAGACTCGTCAGTCATTGCTCCCATGAATAGATCCCCTTCCTAGCGCCCGGAATGTAGTTACTCTAACAGCTGGTAGCTAACCACACTGCCGGTACTTGCATATCACCGTGCAACTGGCTTCTAACAATAACTCTCAGCATGTAACCGGGCCCTGGGTGTACTCATACACCAGACAGTTGAAATGGCGCCGTTACACTACTCCCCTCTTCCAGGGTCTTGGTCTCTAAGATCTATAATCACTCTATTACCATCCATTCTATATGACAAGAAATTCCGTGATATGCAAGGAATGAAAACCTAAAGGAAAAAGCTACACCCCAATGATCCGCTTATCTTTGGGTTTCTTAGGATACCTCATATGGAAATCCCGAAGGGCTTCTTCAGCACTCTTCTTGAAGTGCTCCCAAGGTTCCCATGTAGCATCCTCGTTCTCACAACCTTCCCACAGCACTAGGTATTCCACTCGTCTCCTTTTCTTATTGACCCTGCTATCAGCTACCTCTCGGACAACCCAGTTCTGTTCTCCTTCAATCTCTTCGGGTTCCGGTGGTGGAACTCTTCTCTCAGGATCTACCGGTGCTCTGTAAGGTTCCAGAAGAGGGACATGAAAGACCGGGTGGATTCCCATTTGAGGGGGAAGAGAGAGCTTGTAGGCACGGGTACCAATAGCTTCTAAGACCTTGAAGGGTCCCATCTTCTTCTGATCCACTTTTCCCAAAGGCCGCTTTGTTTGCACATTGCGCCGGTCCAACATTACTTCATCTCCGGGCTTGATTTCGGGAGGTGCCAGGGCATGAGCATCATACCACCGGGCCATCCTTAATCTAGCTTTACCCAAGCTGGCGTTCATAGCTTGCCAGATAGATTCCTATTGAGATATCATGACCTCACTCGCCGGATTGTTCCATTCTACTCCTTCCTTTGGGGCTGGCCAGTTGGTTCTCGGTTCATATCCATTGTTGGCATAAAAAGACGATACTTTGGTAGACTCAGAGACCGCCGAGTTATATGCATACTCTGCCAAAGGCAAGAGTTCTGCCCAGTCATCCTGTTGATATGAACAATAACTTCGCAAGTAATGTTCCAGGGTCTGGTTAACTCTTTCTGTTTGACCGTCCGTTTGGAGGTGGAAAGATGTGGACATCTTCAGCTTCACATTGAGAAGACTCATGAGAGATTGCCAAAAGTGAGAGATGAACCTGCTATCTCTGTCCGAGACTATGTCATCAGGTAAACCATGGAGTCTCCAAACTTCCTTTAAGAACAACTTAGCCAAATCTTCTGTTTTATTGAGTGTAGGAAGAGGGATGTAGTGTGCCATCTTCGAAAAACGGTCCACTATTACCCAGATCTTGGTAAACCCACTAGATTCCGGTAACCGCACAATTAAGTCCATAGAGATGGAAGTCCATGGCCGATAGGGTATCTCCAATGGTTGGAGCATACCAAACTTCTTATATCTTGAGGTCTTATTCCTCTGGCAGCTATCACAGCTCCGGACATATTCCTCGTAATCTTATCCATGTTGGGCCAAAAGAAGTTGTTTTTCACCCGCTCTAGTGTCTTAAATTGGCCAAAATGACCAGTCACTTTAGAGTCATGGGTATCGGACAGTATTTCCATCTGAAGCTTCTTGTCTTTGGGTATATACCATCTATTCTTGTAGAAGATGAGACCGTTCTTGACCGACAAGTTCTGGTCCAAATTTGGTTTCCTTTCAACCAGTGAGCGGTGCAGTTCCTGCCAGAAACTATCCTCTTTAGCAGCCGCATATAGGCGCTCTAAGAATGTATTCTGCAATTGATTCACCCTGATGGCCACTAGCTTTACAGGATCCAAAACCAATTGACATAGCCTAAAAAAGATCTGTGGCTCCGGCTGCAGAGCTTCACCTCGCTCTCCAAGGCGGTGATCCCAGCGCCTAGATAGCAAATCAGTCTTGCCATTCTTTTCTCCCGGTCTGTAGACAACTTTAAAATTGTAGCCGGCGAGGTCTTCAGACTATCTAGCTTGCCGCCTAGTGAGAACCTTGGTAGAATTAAAATACTCCAAGTTCTTGTGGTCTGTAAAAACCGTGATCTCCTGTTCAGAAGATTTGAGCATATGTTCTCATTCCCCGAAAGAGGCTACAATAACTCCCATTTCCTTATCATGAATGTCATAGTTGATCTCAGCAGGGGAGAACCTCTTAGAATAGAATGCCACCGGATGTAGCTTTCCATCATCCCCATACTGAGAGAGCACTGCTCCCTTGGCAAAATCACTGGCATCTGTTTCGACCACAGTTCTCCTACTAGGGTCAAAGTGAAGAAGGATTGGAGCGCTTGTGAACAGCCTCTTGAGTTCTTCAAAGGCCTGCTCATGTACTGCCGTCCAATACCATTTCTTGTCTTTTTGTAAGACGTCAGTTAATGGTTTGCAAACTTTACTGAAGCCTTCAATGAAGCGGCGATAGAAGTTTGCAAATCCGAGGAATGCCTGTACTGCCTTGATATTTTCAGGGACCGGCCATTCCATAACTGCCTCCACTTTGTCTTCTGACATAGACACTCCCTTTTCCGAGATGTGATAGCATAGGTACTCTACTTCTCGGACATGGAAGGATGTTTTACTGATCGAGGTACAGAGCTTAGCTTCCCTAAGCTTCTGTAGAACCTTCTTGACCAGTAGCTCATGCTCTTTCTCAGTTTCCGAGTAGATGAGGATGTCGTCGATATAGACAACCACTCCTTCATCCAGTAGTTCCTTTAGCACATCATTGATCATTGCCTGGAAGGCAGAGGGAGCATTGCATAGACCAAACGGCATCACATTATACTGATACAGTCCATAGCGGGTTCTGAAAGCGGTTTTCCACTCATCACCTTCGGCTATCCTGATCAAATTGAAGCCATTCTTCAGGTCTATCTTTGTGAAGATCTTGGCCTTGAACAACCTGTCTCTGAGCTCACTCATGATAGGCAGCGGGTACTTGTTCTTGACAGTGACCTTGTTCAAACCTCTGTAATCCACACAAATCCGCAATGTCCCATCCTTCTTAGGAATGAACAATATGGGCGCCGCAGCAGGGCTATTAGATCTAGAGATCTTTCCTGAAGACAATTCTTTGTCCAGGTACTCTCGGAGGGCCTTCAACTCTGGAGCGGAACATGGGTACAGCGCGCCAAATGGGGGAGCGGTGCCAGGGAAGAGTTTGATCTTCAAATCATTATGGGAATGCGGCGGCATTTCCCCAATCTTCTCTTCACTGAACACATCAGCCCATTCCCGGTATAGGTGGTGTATTTTCTCAGCAATATCACCTCCGTCCTCATCATGCCATACTGAAGCAACCAATTGATAGACTGTCTCTTCTTCTTCCAGCATCTGGTAGGGAGAGATCAGTTCAATCTTGGTGGCTGCTGGGAGACAATTCTGCTTGCAGTAGTCACTCCTCCAGCTCATGGTGTTGAGTTCTCAATTGATGTCCGGGTTATGCTTCCTAGCCCAACTAATTGGCAGGTAACCGGTCATTCCTTCTTCCAAAGTAGCCACCTCCTATCGGAGTGTCTCCTTATGATCTCCCATAGTTATGCGGACTGGGTGAGTGTAATACTCGCCTCCTCCCATCGTGATATCTCCTTGAGCATCAAACATTGTCAGAGGTTGATCCCGCTGCACTAAAGGAATTCCGTGTTTTCTGACAAAACTCTGGTTGAGGATAGCTCCTGTACAACCGGTGTCAAACAGGAAAGACCCTTGGGCGCCTTATTCCCTTCCTTTGACCGTCCATGACAGCCCTGCCTTTAGTATAGGTCTTTTTCCATGTACTGGTAAGGAGGGAAGCCTCTGCTCCAACCTTCTATACTTAGCAGCGGGTTATGAACTCGTTTCTCTTTATCTGTTCAACATGGCTAACAACTTTGGGCACTACTAAGATCAAAGATCCTTTGGTTCTATTCCCAAGTGAAAATATAGCAGGTATGATGTATAGTAGTTTTTGGTAGCGGTTTGGAAGTGTTATTGTAGCAAATGTAACTTTGATAGAGCACTGACAGACCAGCTGTTTCGGGTCTTAAACTTATCCTCAGAGTGCTTGGAGCAATCAAATAGGCAGAAACACAATCATAATTTATTCAAGAGAAACATAGAAACCCCAAAACCCATATAAAAGAAAACTAGTAAACATAGACTTCAAACAGACACTTTTCTACCAGATGATTTCATTGTCCGAGTCTTGCTCAGGCTGGAAAACAAAATCTTCTGTAACCTCCGGGAGTACAACAAGTGGATCTTCTGCTACAACAGCAGCCACTTTAGCCTTCTTTTGAGAGCTGGACTTGCCATTCCCTCTTTTCCGCTTTTGTACTCTCACTGCTGCCACTCGGACAACAGTAGGTTCCTTGCACCAACAATCGGTCCATTTGTGTCTGGACTTGCCGCACTATTGCACAAGTCAGTCTATGCACTCTACCAATAGGGAGTACCGAAAGGTCATACCTTCAAGCATACTTCTGCTTTCCTTCTTTCTTCTAGAATATCCCCCGGGATACCCTTCAGTTCCACCGCTCTATCTTTAGGTCCGGTAGCATTCTGAGGTCCGGAGGAGCTTACAGCTTCTCTTTTCCTCTTGGGCTGCTGGTCCTTCTGAGCAGGTGGGTCCTTCTTGGTTCGAGGGGGTGCTTTCTCAGCTACCAACCCTTGATATCTCTCATGAGTATGCCCTAACTCTCTTAGAGCAGCTATCCGCTCCATTAAGGACTTTGGCTTGGGATTAAAAAGAGCCCAACTCATGCCTAGGTCCGGAAGGAGGGAATTGTTGATCTTATCATCCACCAACTGACCCTCATAGCCAGTTTTCCACATCAGCTGAATAATAGTATTCAGGAAGAGATCTATTCCTCCTCGAGCCGTGTGGGTAAGGGTATTCCAATGGGCTAAAGCATCATCTCTGGAGATGGCTTCGCCGAAGTCTGCTCTAAAAGCATCCACAAAGGAATCCCAGCGCTTCCATCTCTGGTCCAACATCACCGGCATTCCAGCAAGACGGTTGGTGGAGGTTTGATCAATTGAGTTATGGTATGCCTCATACCATCGGATCGCTGCTTCTCCTTCCATCAAGTTGCCTGCATATCGGATCTTAACCTTCTCAGAGGTAAATGATAGGCTCTCAATGGAGAACACATTCTCACATTGCCGGATGAAAGTCTCCACTTGCTCCGCTTTGCCCTGGAACTTGGAGGGTGGTGGTGCCTTTGGTTCTCGGGCCCTGGTAGATACAGAAGGGGGAGAGGCGGCCGGAGGTCGGTACTGCTGGGACATCATAGCCAACAGATTCTTCTGCTGCTTCTCCAACTTCTTCTTGAGGTATCTCCACCAGCCTCTCCTGTCACCACCTTCTGATTCCGAGTCTGAGCTATCGGAACTGTCTGAATCCCCTGGAGCGGAAGCACGGGCCGCAGGAGGTGGAGGGTTCTGATTTCCACCACTTCTGCCTTGCGCAGTAGCTGGAGGGGGAGCGGCGGCCGCAGCAGGAGGGGCCACAGGTGCTACTGGTGCCGGGTTGCTGGCCAATGGTGAGGTTGGTGCTGCTTGAGCGGCCCCAGACATGGTGAACCTTCCCGGGTTCCTGGCTAGTGGACTGGGAGGTCCTCGGCCTGCAACTGGGAAGAGCTCTCCTTCATAGTCAAAGGATCGGTCGGCTCCTCCAAGGAATGGGAGTACTCCACTAAAGCGGCTGGGAGGTAAGGGAGATGCTCCCACTGGTGGCTGCACAATAGGGATAACTCTCCTAGAGGATCGGACCGGAAATACTGCGAAGGGGTTGGTCTTTCGCTGCATTGTTCTGGTGGCTGCCCTAGAAGAGGTCCTGGAGTGAGGATTTGGTGCCGGAGTTCCTGGTCTACCCACCACCAGCCTTTCTTCATCGAGGGCTCGCTGTATTTTGGCAACAAAGTCTGGTGGGGTGGCCGGATTTGTCCACTCGATCTCCATGGCATCTGCATCCAGTTCATCTTTTTCCGCATACCTCCGGAGTTCTTCCTGAACAGAGTTGACCTCCATCTTCATATACTCGAGAGCTTCTGCCATAAGAGTATTCTGTGCTGCCTGGTGCTCTTGTATAAGGAGGAGTGCCTGACTGCCCCGGGTCAACTGATTCTGCAGGCTGTGTTGGAGGTAGGTCTGAAACTCTATAAAGAACTGCTGAAGGGAAACCTCGTCGGTATCTTGCCAGGCGGGCTCACAACCGGGAATATAGGTCTGTAGAGTGGTCCTGGGCTTCTTAACGAGCTGTGTCTGCCCGGTGGCATCAAGCTGGAGGGGCACCAGCTGCCATTCAATCTGAAGGGGCACTTCCGGAGCTGGGAGGGCGGACATTTTGTATAGAGGAAGATTAATCTGAAGGTGACTTGAGCCTTAAAGACTATCTGTAACGGGGGTTCTTTCTAAGAGAAATAGAATCGGATAGAATAGAGACGGCCGTGGAAGATAGACAATCAGGTTGCAGATTATTCGAAGATACTATCGCTAGAACTCAATAATCTTTAAGGGCTCTGCTACCGATAAGAACTTGGTTTTTCTTTCTGATGAAGACTCGAGAGAATAGGACTGAAGGGCGGGAATGAACCTGAGTACTTATACTCCGAAGGCCTCTATCCTCTGCTCCTAACTCCTTACTAAGTTCCGGTGGAGCCTTTCCTCGGTGCCGGAAACAATACCACCACTACCCCGCTTTTCTCTAAGCGTCAGCAGGTGTTTCCGATACCCAAGGCAACCACCCTTAGTCAAAGCCTTTGTAATACCTGCAGCCTTGGTTGCCACACAACCGAGGGCCTGAATGAATGAGCTGCCGCTCAGGTGTGAGCTTAGCCATTGCTGTAGAGCTTTCGCTTATTGTAGACTCGTCAGTCATTACTCCCGTGAATAGATCCCCTTCCTAGCGCCCGGAATGTAGTTACTCTAACAGCTGGTAGCTAACCACACTGCCGGTACTTGCATATCACCGTGCAACTGGCTTCTAACAATAACTCTCAGCATGTAACCGGGCCCTGGGTGTACTCATAGACCAGACAGTTGAAATGGCGCCGTTACAGGATCGAATAATCGCCAGTAATTCCTTGTCGTAAATCTCGTAGTTGCATTCGGCGGGGGAGTGCTTTTTTGAGAAGTATGCGACGGGTCGAAGGGTACCATTATCATCGTATTGAGAGAGTACACCGGCAGAGACATAGTCAGAGGCATCGGTTTCCACGGTAATTTCCTTCTCCGGGTCGAAATGGGTAAGGATAGGAGCGGTTGTAAAGGCTTTCTTCAAGGTGTCGAGGGCAGTTTGGGCTTCGGGCATCCATTCGAACGATATGTCCTTGCGTGTCAGTCTGGTAAGCGGGGATGCCAGTTCCGAGAACCCACGTATGAATCGGCGGTAAAAATTAGCGAAACCTAGAAATGCTTGCACATCCTTAACTGTTTTGGGGACGGTCCAATTCTTCACTGTCTCCACTTTCCTTGGATCCATTTTAATGCCATTGGGTTCGATGATGAGGCCGAGGTAGGTGGTGCTTTGTGTATGAAATTCGCATTTCTCTGGTTTCAGCAGTACTCCATTTCTTTGTAGGGCTTCCAGGACCTTCTCGACATGTACTTGATTTTCTTCGAAGGTGTCGCTATAGATGAGAATATCGTCAAGGTAAGCTGTAAAGAACATATCGAGGTAGTCACGGACGCAATCGTTAATGAAGTGTTGGAAGGTGGCCGGCGCATTGGTAAGGCCGAAGGGCATCACCGTATATTCGAAATGCCCATAACGCCTACGGAAGGCTGTTTTCCATTCTTCACCCTCAGCCATTCGGATCTGGTTATACCCTTGGCGAATGTCAAGTTTGGTGTACCACTTGGCTTTGGAGAGGTGGTCGAGAGTTCCCCGGATGAGCGGCAGCGGGTAGCGGTTTTTAACAGTGAGTTCGTTGAGGCCACGATAATCGACACAGAGACGGAGTGTGCCATCGGCCTTTTAAACAAATAGAACAGGGGCACCGGCAGGCGAAGAGCTAGCCTGAATGAAGCCTTTTTGGAGGTTGTCCTGTATGTACTGCTTAAGCACGATGAGCTCCTCACGGGACATACCATAAAGTGGCCCAAACGGGGGCTCTTTTCTTTCCTTAAGCGGTATCTTATGGTCATAGGGGAGGCGAGGCGCCATTTCGTTAGCGAACTTCTCGTCCATCATCTCATGAAACCTCTTGTACCGGGTTGGGACTCGGCTCCTCCAGTCTTCCTTGGGGGGCTCGCCCGTGGCTTGGTCTATTTCCTCGATAGTTGTGCTGAAGATTTGGAGCTTGTCCCTTCGAGCGAAGCGGCAGGGAGCAGCTGAACTGACGAGGTGGAAACGGGGTGGTGGTGTAATCCCTCTGATGGGAACGGGTGTTACGGAGGAGTTGCACTTGCGTTTGCAGTATTCGGAGTCGAACAGTATGCTATTGTCCTTAAACCGTAATGTAGCGTCGTGTAATTGAAGCCAAGGGATTCCGAGTACGAGTGGATATGAGCCGAGTTTGGTGACGAAGAAGGCGATAGTTTCATGGTGGGAGTCAATTGATAGCGGTAGGTAGCAGAGGTGAGTAATCTGTCCGGAGGATATAGGCCGTCCGTCGATGACTTCAAGAGTGCGAGGTGAGTTGAGAGAGAGAAATGGGAGGTTGTTATGGCGCGCAAATGTTTCATCAATGAATGCGAACCCGGAGCAACCGGTATCGATCAATGCGTGGGTTTGAATGGATATTTTATTGTTTACAATTTTACACGAAGCAACAAAATGATCCCCATCCAATTTATCCTCCACAGACGATACCGAGAAGCCAGAGATAGAGAACGCAGACAAAGGAGAAACATTAGAAGGTCCCAGCCAGTGGCCATTGATCAAGCCCGGAACTACTGAAAACCCGACTAGGAGGAGGCGGGACTAGCGATCGGTGGGGTAGGGGGGTCGGCGGCATTATGAGCTGGTACGAGGAGGGCGCCCCTCATAACCGGTTGATTACCACGCGGGCGATTGGCACAGGGGCAGGTGGCGAAGACATGGCCGGGGTTGGCGCAGTACATACAGAGATTATTGTCCCTTCGCCATTATTTCTCGGCGGCAGAGGTTTTGCGTTTTCCATTAACAAAGGTGTATCTTTGTTCGGCGGCAGGGCGTTGAGCGGAACGGACCTGGAGGGCGGAGAGGTCCATTGGGGCGAGGCCTCCGGTGGTATGAGATGGCTGTGCGACAGCAGCGGGGGGTAAATTGTCCCATCGTATTACGGATGGCCCTTTGTTCAGCTTTACGGCCCCGAACCTGGTTGTCGATTGTCATTAACATGGTAGCGTATGCCTCTACCGTGTTAGGCCTGCCTGTCCGGTATGTCATAGCATCCTTCAGGTCTTCCGACAGTCCTCCGGCCAGGGCATCGATCTTGGCTCCTTCGTTGTAGTCTAGGTAGGCTACAATACGGAGGAACTGTGAGTAATAGGTGGCGAAGTCCCCTTTGCCTTGCTTCAGGGCGATGAGTTGGCGACGGGCGGTACCCCGGGGGTCTGGGTCTCCAAACGAGGCTTCCAGGTGGGTGACTAAGGCAGTGACGGAGGAGAAGGGGGCAGCAGGGTTAGCGTTAACAAGTGGAACGACCTGGTCAAGGGCCCTTCCTTCCAAGCAGCTGACGGCATAGATAACTTTTGCTGCCTCGTTTCAGAATCGATCATGGTTGACCTCAAGTTTCATTCGGAGTTGGGTGGTGAATCCGGGGAGCTTGGTACGGGTGCCGTCGAATTTTTCAGGGTCTGGGAACTTTTCAGACCTGAAGGCGGGGACAGTAGTGGGTGGGGGAGCAGCGGCAACGGGGGCAGAGGCGGCAGGGGCGGGGGCAGCGCAAGCGACATTGAGGTCGAGGTTGAGCTGGGTTACCTGCTCCTCAAGGTTGTCAATGGTTTCATTGGCGGTGGCGAGTTGTGTACTAAAGGTATCCCTCTGGAGGCGGATGCGCTGGACAAGGATGGCGATGTTGTTAAATAAGTCGGCAGCGTCGACCTCATACTGCCGCTTGAATTCTTCTACATCGTTGGGTGGGGCCCATGTAGGTGGGTCGGGGGTGGACATGTCATACGGTGCGGATGACGAAGCAACGTAATCTCAAGGGGGCGAGTAGCGAGTATTCCGCAGGGTACGAAGGGTGTAGTAGGGGCCGGTGTCGGAACTCGCAATAGGGGTCCTAAGGGACTCTGGCGTCGGTAAGGGTCAATGGGACAAGGGGAAGCGAAGCGGTGGTCTTCTCGAGTAAAGAAGAGGAAGATAATATTGTATAGTAATAGACAGCGTAGATACAGAAGACGTTGCGTAAAGAAAGAAAGAAAGAGAAAAAGAACAAGAAATACAAACGAACCCCCCCTAATATACCCAAGGAAATCCCAGCGATGACAAATCCAAAGTGACTCATACATTAACGATCAACAGAACCCGGTAGAACCCAATAGAACCTTTCTGACTAATCCAACTCCCCATAACCCAGTGTATTCACTAATCGATCCATGAAAGAAGGATAATGGAGAAAAAAACAATAATCAACTGGCCAATGTGTGATTCATGCAGAGGAATTTGTAAATGCAAGAGAGCCAGAGATTTCTGTATCCAAAAAATCAGTAATGCTGTAACTGTAATCTCCACATACAATCACTGTCTCAAGCATAATAACAGTTGTTCCCTTAGGCAGAACCTATACAAGAGATCGATAATCAAACTTATCATTGAAAGATGAGTCAGCACCAATGGAGGAATCTCCTGGCCTGAACCAGTATACAATCAAAAATATTTTGGATGAATCCGAGAGATCATGCACTGCATCACATGACATTGAGTTACATGATGACACACCATCACCTGTTAAGAATCAGAGGGTTGACCTATTGACAACTCTTAAGGAACTTGTCAAAAGAAAAGAAAGTATAAGGTTTAAATAGCTGGGATAGATAGGTGTATTCTTAGTATCACTACAGAGCTATTTCGATGGGAACTAGAGATTTAAATTCATTTACTTGATATTATTTCCAAAGATTTTGGCATAGATTCATGATCAACTGCGTATGCTACGGGACACAGTTGCTGCTCCCAGCAAAGATACTGAAATCTAGTTATACTTCATAAATTCTAGGAGACACCTTTAGATCACTAAGCTATTTAACAAATGACTTCGTCATTTTTCAAGTCAAGATCAATTCTAAATGAATTTCTAAAAAGACATCGACCAGAATTTAAATAATTGACTATTTAGATAAATGATTCATCCCATCGTAAACGACCAACATGTAACTAATTATTTACCTATATTTAGCTAATTAGTTCAATAATCAATACAACCAAATGACCACCATGTAACTAACTAATTCTACCCCAACACTGAGATTATTTTCGTTATTTTCGTACACCCGCTTGAAAAAGGTGACGAAACAATGACTTGAAATCAAAAACCATACCTTATGGCAAGTCCGGCAAGGGAGGCCATACAGGATGGTGAATACAGTTCAGAGGCCGTAGTATCGATTCTCTTTCTCATGATATAGTTAAAGAACTTCTCGTAATTTTTCGTTTCACTTTTCATTGGGGTTTGGTAGAGGTTGTTTCCTCCCTTTTTTCACACGGGTGTACATTACTACCTATATTATCAACACACGTATTTAACTTTGTAAATATCTTACCATAAGAGGTTGATGCTAAGAAGGGCATAAAAAAGGGACAAAATGAACTTTGTAAACGAATCTTTTGCCTTCTTTACAATCAAGCGTCCCTTGAAAGTGAAGAAAAAGCTTCATTTCCCAGGACTTTCTTCATAGGAAATGCATAAATTTAATGATTTATTTACATCGCTAGGAGAATAAAGAGAAAGAAATAGTCGTCAACTATCTTTACCATGGGGTATACGCATCAGTTGATGCGTTTCATAAGTATTATCCCTTGGACTGTTGAAACTGTCAAATTCTTAGCCCAGGTCTGGGCCGTGCGTGCACTGAGTTGAGTTCATCCGTTCGCGCTTAATGGTTGATGATATGCATAGAGCCAATCATAAATAACTGTTAGATACCTGCTTAGGCTATTATCAGCTCAAAAAGGCAAGCTGCGAAGTTGACGGTTTCATCCGTCCAAGGGGTAGAGGCTCTACCAGCCATGTAAATGAATCATTTGATTCGTTTCCCACGAAGCAGGTTTTGAGAAGCGAATCTTCTGGTTCATTTTCAGGGCACGCGTTTGTCAGAGGCACTCAGATTCATTTGCACCAGGGGGGAAATGCATCATTTTGATGCCTCTCCGCGATGCCTTTCCCAGATAATGCTTTTCCCATGGTGCCAATGCGTTGTCAATTCAATATATTGTCTCGTAGCATAGGTGATAGGATTCAGGTTGAGCAATCACATCAACCAAGGTTCAGTTCGCTGAGAGATCAATCCATTCCAGTGCCATCAATTTCATCCAACGTTTACCATTGCCCGGCTGCCTGGCGTGACTGTTGGCGCCCCTGCTTAATACTAAAGGCATACCAGGTTTGTTTTTTCTTTGGGGGGGCAGCATAAGGGTCCATAGAGGCACTAAATCTCAACTCACCCGGCTCGTCTAACTCAACTGTTATTACCCATAATACCAATTACATCTCAGAACATGCATATTCGGACATCTCTTACCCGCTGCGAGCAACACTCTCATTTTTATGGGTTGAGCCGGTTGCTCTGCAATTTGTGCTTACCAATCTACCCCTATCACTCGAGTGAAAAAAACATATACAAACACATGTTCACGTAGGTACAAGCAAGATGTGATTGTATTCAGAAAGCGAGTAACGCAATGTAGCAGCTATAAGGTGGTCTCAACCCATCCTAGAGGATAGGGAGAAGGCCGATCTCATCCAAGGAACAAACATGATCAGTATAATCAACTTTTCAAGATACTTTATATGGCGCTCACGGGTGTGGGGATTTAAGGTTTTTTCCTTCTACAGGGCAGCTAAATTAACAAAACAAGTATATTCCCAATCGCGTATGAGGTTTGATAATTCATTTTGGACTCACTACGTTGGGGTCGGAGAATCACCTCACCCCCGTGGTTGCTACCCCCGTCAGGGGCAGTCGGCAATCGTTCCGATGTCTTCGTCTGTTTTCAGGCCCTTGTAAATCTACCTTAAGTGGGCATAAACCTGATTCCGTCACGCCCGTCACCCCTCTTTCGGCAGATCTTTCTTACTTGGAGCAAATTTGTTCTCTATTGGTAGTGTGACAGCCCCATTAACACCTAGCCTGTTGAATATCTTCACGCTAATAAGTCGTGAAAACCGGCAACCAGCGAAGACATAACCTGCTCCTTTTTGCCGTCTGGTCTTGGTAGTGTTTTATTGTTTGTTTACCCATTTCCGGGGCTGCAACCTCTTCCGCATGCCTCATTTTTGTTTTGTTTTGTTTTGTTTTCTTTTTTACTACGATGCGGCGGGTTCGGTCCGGAGGATCCTCTCCATCTCCAACATCCTCAAGACACTACGGGCGTTTTAGTCCAGGAAACCGCGGGCATCTGCCTCAGGATCTGCTCTGCGGGCTTTTTGGCCCAGGAAACCGTGGATCTATCTCAAGACACTACTTGATACCTGTACTGCCAGTAGTGGTAGGCACCTTACGTGCGAGCACGTATTGTTCTGAACTTCCCTGCACCCCTCAACCACCTTCCATCTGGAGTACCCCCCTCGCCTCGTATTCTGATGCCTCCAAATCGACGACTACATTCGGTGTGGAGATGTAGTTGGATGTGAGCTTGCGATCTTGAGGTGCGGTGTTTTTGGGCGCGGCCGTGAAGTGGAGTCTTCGTGAAAGGCCTGATTCGGGGGTGAAGCGGTGGTATACGTATGTAACTTGGGGTGCGATCATAAGCGAAGTATTCGGTTGCGAAACAAGAAAAATCTGGTGTGGCTTTACTATCAAATATAATAGATCTCCGATACAAATTAAACATAGTGGGCGCAGCCATGCAGGGCGCGGAGATAGAGATAGAGGGGGGTACATACGGTCTTCGGTTCGACGAGATCTAGTGAGATCTGCAGGAAAAGGAGGTTAAACCCCTCTCGTCGTCGTGCCTTGAACAACCTCCTTCTAAACCACACCATATCCCACTCCTCCCTCCACCTCCAAACCCACCACCTCCTCCCTCCACCTACAAACCAACCTCGACACCGCCCTCGACCCCCCCCCCCCCTCTTTCCTTCTTCATACTCAACACACGCAATCCAAATCCTCCTCTCCTCCTGGGCCACACATGTGACTGAACACCGCAGTAGTGGGAGCCATCAAGGTGGTGGGATCCGACTGAGTGGTGAAGCCAGTCGGTGCTGGGAGCCATGTCGGTAGTGGGGGAGGTGAGTCCGTGGCGAGAGCCTGTGTTAGGAGCCCGCTGGGTGGTGGGAGCCTGCATATATACTCGGCGGCGGAAGCCAGCTCCATGGAAGCCCACTGGAGGCCCTCTTGGTGGTCGAAGCCTGGCTTCCAATTCACATACAAAGCAGAGTCGGCCACCTATATTGCAACTTCAGAGGTGTAACGGTCAGATTGAGAGCCATTTTGGTGTTAGGTGCCTGTTGGATTCCAGACTCCGGGGGGTGTGGTCGGGACGAGTGTTTAGTCAGGTGAGTGAGTGGTGGGAGCTGGCTCGGTGATGGAAGCCATGTCGGTGGTAGAGAAAATGTATGTAGAGAAGTGTAGTAATTAAGCGTGTTATCCCAACTAACTAGAGGGGGGAATACCCCATATTTATACTAAAGAAAGGTAACACAAAACATAGTAAATCATAACCGTATAAGTAATAGAAAGACATGACTAATAAATACCAGAGAGATAATGAGTCAGAACCCATGACTCATAATGACAAATGAGAATCCTCCAATACTATGAAATGTGCTGAGCGTACTATTTCAAGAGGTGGTGGGAGCACTTCGGTTGTGGAAGCCAGCAAGTACAAGTGGGAGACATGTTGGTGATGAAATTCTAAAGCTAGGATACGTACTCGGTGGCGAGAGCCAGCCAGTATTCTCGTTAGTTACAGCAATCTCACCAGTTAAACCCTCTCAATATTCCCGAAGTTGAGAGCCAGCTCGGTGGTGGGAGCCAGCCAATATTCCACATACGATCCTTTTGTTTGTTTTTAACAGAGAGTAAATTAGTTACTTATTGAGGTAATTCACGTTGTTAGTCCTTTGGCCTCTAATGTCACGCTAGGTTGAGCTTCTACTTATTTCTTGGTTTTCAACATGTCTTCCTCTTGTGGCGGCGTTACTAACCGACCTGTAAGCCCTCCGATTCAACACAGCGTACGAATCGGGTACCCCGCTCATCAGGGAAAGACCACGTTGGTTGGAGGTTCATACCGTACCAAACTAGACTCGATTGGACGCAGAACTGGACTGGACTGGACTGGACTGGATAGAGGTTTTGTAAACCGGTTTTCCCTTCCAGAACGGTGGTCTGCTTTCGTAGTAGTTGTCTTACTCCAGGTAAGCAGCCTATCATTAGAACTGAGCCAGTCACTGGGAGAATTGATAAGAGTATCTACAACGAAAGATTTCTATTATGGTACTCCCGACCGAAACTTGATTACTCTAATGTAGAGCAGTTCCGGTGGTCCACTAATCGCTAACGGGTAGCCGCATGCTAGAACGGTTCGTCAAACCAGCTCAAGCCGGTTTTCAACTTTTATAGATGATAAACCGAACTGAATCATCATCAACATTAACCGGTTTAGAACTTATCAGAGCCGGTTCGCGCGTTGGAACGGGTAAACCACTGGAAACCCTGTTGACATATATTTGCCACCACAGGGGGACTAGGGTCTCGGATCTGCAGCGGTGGTCCTTCCAGACAGGTCGTCTCTCTTTTCTCTTTTGTTTAATTCATCCGCCAGGCGGGCCAGAAGATGACTAGTGTGTATGTATGCACAGATATGCTGGCTATTATCAAAGACCACCGAAAGATTCAGATTGGATACTATGCCATCGAAATCTGATACCTGCTTGCTTGTTAAGAACAGTCAGCAATTAGTACGGCATCTAGCAAACAGACATTATAAAATCAAACGGCCAAGGTGGCTTCCTCTGAAATATCCATGTCCGTATCCTACGAATGGGATGCTATATCACAGAGCTACGTATACGATATACCAAGTAGGCCCCTGATGGTTTGGCACTTGACTGATATTCTTTGGTGTATAGGGCTATCTATCTATCTATGTTGAGCTGGCTAGCAAAGCCCATCACGGGTTGAGTCCAAGGAACACCAGCACATGTAATTTCTCCTCAAGTTTTTCAATTGCTAAACAAGCTCGAATCCGCATCTCTTGCTTACACTACAGGCATCATCGGACTGCAAGAAGACATGATTCATCCACACCAAACGGAAAACAAACATAACCAGTCAGTAGCCATTGGCGGAAACTCGGATTCAAGTCCCGCGAAAAGTGTAAGCGTGGCTCCCAAGACCAATCCACTCTATCCCGCAAGAATCGCAACCACCCTAGCCACCTGAGCCCCCACAATATTCGTAGCAATCCTAACCTCGAAAACCCTCTGAGCCGCACGAGCCACTGCAGCCGTCGCAGCCGTCGCAGCCGCATCATTCGGATCACCCGCAACCGCTGCAGCCACCGCAGTCATCGCAGCCCCCGAAGCATCGATAGCCTCTTCAACAGCCGTAGCCATTTCAACCACCGCATTCGTCGCAGCAGCCTGATTCGCAAGCACCGCAGCCACCCAAAGTGCCGCACCCCACGCAGCATTGAGAGTCGCCAAAGCCCTGGCAGCCACCACGTCCACCGCAGCCGTCGCAGCCGTCCCAGCCGCATCATTCGGATCACCCGCAACCGCCAGAGCCACTGCAGCCACCGCAGCGACCGCAGCCCCCCTAGCCTCCGCAGCTTCCGCAACCGCCGCAGTCATCGCAGCCTGCGCAGCCTGCCGAGCCTCCTCCGGCGTGGGTGGCGGCGGCGGGTCCGAAATGTCCCATTTGGCCCGGACAAGATGTGGGCTATCCATATTCTGGATTAGCGCGGCCTCGACTTCCATGATGTCTCCAGCAGCCTCGGAGAGGTGGGGTAAATAACGGCCAGCTAGGTAGAGTGTAGGGTCTGCCACGCTTTGAAGTAGGGATTTGCTAAACGATCAGGAAAGGCGGGTCAGCAAATAACTAGCTATAAAATTTGGCAAAGCTACATACCCTTCAAATGGAACTATCCTCCAGCGCTGGCGTCCCACCCCGGCTTGCTGATGCGCAGGAAGAGAAAGGATGATACGGGACCCATTCCCACCGGTCTGGCTACCTTGGACTACGTCAAGGGTGACGATATTGGGGAGCGATCCATCTAATCTGATGCGGTACACTCCCGCTTCATTATCTACATGCTCAAAGATGCAGTTCTGTGCGACGCTACGTTTAACCAAGACCTGCATTTCTCCGCTGGCCATGTTAAAGGGTCTAGGTAAGAACGAAACGTGACGCAGGCCTCCATTCTACGAAAAGCGTTAGTTAATTGTGTTTGGGAGATTATAACACTCAAGGAAGGCTTGTGAATCTCACACACGCACCTGCGCGTCCTCAACAATGTTCCATTTGGCCGGGACACTCTTGGTCCGGACACACATTTGGCCTGAATGAGGGGGGAGGTCGGGACTAGTTTCTTCACCACCGAGGTAGACTTGAGGGTCTGCCACGCTTTGAAGTTGGAACTGCCTAAACGGTTAGGGAAGGCGGGTTAGTAAATAGCTAACTATAAAGGTTGGCAAAGCAACATACCCATCAATTGGAACCATCCTCCAGCGCTGGGCTGTCTCCTCTAGGGGAGTCGGTGCCCCTCCGGCAGTCACAAGGATGACACCGGGCCCCACAGCCATGTTGTCGCCGATCATATTAACGCGCACAGCTAAGTTCAAGTTCTCTGCAATATTCCGGATGCGGAACTGCCCCGCCTCATTGGGAACTTGCTCAAAGTTCCAGCCCTGTGTGGCGTTACAGTTAAGGACCACGCTGGGTTCGTTAGCGACCATGTTAAAGGGTCTAGGTACGAACGAAACGTGAAATAGGCCTCCATTCTAGGGAAAGCATTAGTTAAATGTGTTTGAGAGATTATAAGACTCAAGAAGGGCTTATGAATTTGGCACACGCACCAGCGGGTCCTCGACAATGTTCCATTTGGCCAGGGCACGGTCTGGGTTAAACATAACATTCGAGATTCTCATAGCTTCGATATACACCGCGTCGAAACGAAGCTGGAGAACATTATAAGCAGCTAGGTAGACGTCAGGGTCTACCATGCTTCGAAGAAGGAATTGGCTTAACGGTTAGGGAAGGCGGGTTAGTAAATAACTAACTATAAAATTTCGCAAAGCAACATACCCATCAATTGGAACCCTCTCCCAGGACTGGGCGGCGAGCTCTTGGGGAGTGGGTTCCTCCCCGGCAGCGACAAGGCTGACACCGGGCCCCACAACCGTCTCCCCGTCGACCGTGTCAACGGTCACCGCTACGTTCTCTCCATTATTCCGGATGTGGAACACTTGCGCTGCACCGGGAACTTGCACAAATTCCCAGCCCTGTCCGGCCGCACGGTTCATCATCACGTCTTCCCCGTTTCTGACCATGTTATACTGTCTAAGTCGCAGCGAAACCTGAGATAGGCGAAAAGCGTTAGTGAAATGTGTTTGAGAGATTATAAGACTCAAAGAAGGCTTATGAATCTCGCACACGCACCTGTGTGCCCTCAATGTTCCATTTGGCCCGGGAGGGAATTGGGCTATCCATCATACCCGAGAATTTGATGACTCGGATACTCATTTTGCCTCGGGCAATTTCCATAGATTCATCACCAACTAGGTAGACTTCAGGGACTGCCACGCTCTCAAATAGGAATTTGCTAAACGGTTAGGGAAGGCGGGTTAGTAAATAGCTAAATATAAAATTTGGCAAAGCTACGTACCCATCGTCGGTTGGAACCATCCTCCAGCGCTGGGTTGCCTCCTCTGCAAGAGGGACAAGGATGACATTGGGCTCCACAACTGTGTTAACTCGCACCGCTAAGTTCAAGTTATCTCCGATGCTCCGGATGCGGAACTGCTCCGCCTCATTGGGAACTTGCTCAATGTTCCAGCCCTGTATGGCGTCACAGTCAAGGATCAGGCGGCGTTCGTTGATGACCAGGTTAAAGCGGGTCCCAGGTTGAAGCGAAACGCGGCGTTCGCCTTCCATCTAGAAGCATTAGTTAAATGTGTTTTGAGAGATTACCGCTCTCGGGGACCTACCTTAAACGTTATATATAATAGCCGCCTGGAGGAATAATTCTTGGTTGAACTGCGCCTACTACTCGCTGCTTATTGGAAAGATATACTCAAGGAAGGCTTAGGAGTTTCGCACTTTTGTAAATTGTTGAAGAGTGAAGTTGATTGTTGAAGAGTGAAGTTGGCTGTTGAGTCTGCGTGACGAGAGGTAGGAAGGCACGGTGATGTTCTACCTTAAATAGTTTTTTTCCTCTGGTCGAATTGATAAGGCGTGCGGGTCCCAGTTTACTTGATCAATCGATCCCCCCACCCCTCCACCTCAGTCGCGGGTGGACCTCTCAAAACTCCAGCACATTTCGGCACACCACTGGTTTTTCTTTTTCTTTTATGCAAGAGTGCTACATTCAGGTAAGAAAGAACCTACCATAAGCTCAGAACTCACCAGATAGCCTCCTGCTATTTGTCGTCAAATCGACTATCTCGCCAAATATGAATTGTATGTCTGGGTCAAAGAAAGGTTGGTAGAATCAATATTAACCAACTTCTGCATATGCGCACGCGGAGCCTTCTTCCAAATTGTCCGGACATACCACTCACACACGCGGAGCTAGAACCCAGATTTAACCAGAAATACAGGATCTCTTGTTTTACTTAGCAGTTATCCGCTCATTTGCACATTACATTAATTCTAATGAACTTTGTAGTTACTACCCCACCCGTGATTCAGGCTGGGGTTTGGCTCCCTTCACAGACAACTCATCCCACTCATTTACACCGCTGGTATTCGTTAAAGTGCGATAAAAGACTATTTTGCGTTGGTTTGCGGACACTAGTCCCGTATATATTGTACTGTCGCCCTTCCCTTTGCCATGACGTAGTTCAGTGAGGGTCAGCTGCATCCATCATCGCCCTATTCCCTAGGCTGAAGCTAGAATTGAAGGGGTCTGTGTGCATCGAGGATCTATCATAAAATGAACATATAGTTGGGCGAGACGGAGAATACTGAGGCGATTAACGACGAACCGGATTCGAATCAAAACCTCAGAAACAATTTTCGTCATAGCCTCCCTTCGTCCTGCCCAATCCTCTACCGCTCTAGTTCAATGGATGGTGGATAGAAATCAGACGACAGATGCAGCGGACCAGAAAGAGATCTCTACTTCCTTCTACACTTGATCTACAGAAATCAACCTGAGCCGGTCGTCATCACCTGGATGTTGAAGAAGCAAAATCTCTCTCATGCGCTAACAGGCCTACGAGGAAATGATGAGCCAAAGTAGAGAACCAATCTGTGAAGTTTATGGGCTTGCTGATTATTTTAGAGACTGATAATGCAGCAAAGAGGTGCCTATCCCTTGGACTGCTGAGACATGCAGATTCGCTACCTTCCGTTCTTAGGAGGTATATGCGGTGGGTCAGTGACTTTACCTCCGTGGCTCTCTTATGGCGAAGTCACTGAGCCACTGCCTCTACCTCCCATATCAGGAAGGTAGCGAATCTTCATGTCTCAGCAGTCCAAGGGATACCTACCCAGTCGTTTTCTATGGTATCTATGCACTCGAGAGATTTAGCAAATGTCTTGAGCGTCCGGGTGATACCCACGTATTAAGTTAGCCCTTATTTGCCAAGTACACAGGATTGAAAAGATTAAGACTCGTCCTATCCACCGTTTCACCTCAAGGTGAATCCTTGCCCTCTCGCATGTCTTACACATGACAGTCCCTTTGCCCAGATGACTTTAGCTGTAAACCACACTAAACCGACCGGCGCCGATCCTCCCACAACCAATTGATCATACAGGGGGAATTTGGAGCCAGCACTTTCTGCGCAGAGGGCGAAATGTAATATCTCCACTTAGTTAAAGGTTAATTCTGGGGTAGAAAGGAGTGTATAACCTGCACGAAGACGTGAAGTTTGATGCCTCCAATTCGCCTTGGTGTGGACCGAGCACATACGAATACAGTAATAGTGGATTTCTCGAGATATAACGGCCTTGCCCATACAAAGAGCTTTGCATATAGTGTATTGAGTGCCAACTGACCAGGGTTTCCAGTGGTTTTCCGGTTATATGGTTCAAACCGGTTTAACTGCACCGTTTAACTTAACAGTTGGTGCAGTGTTCATCGTTCTCATTACATTGTTTGAACGGTTTAGGAATCTGCCAAACCGGTTATACAGTCGGTATAAACAGTTTGTATAACTCATGTTCATGACTTCGAACACCCCAGTTCCTGCGGACGAACATCTCAGTTCCAAAGCTCGAACACCCTGTTTGAGAACGTGGGGAGCTATTTTTAGGACTGTTCTCATGGTGAGTATGCCAAGACATAAAACCGTGGTATTGATCTGCGCCTTGCATATCAGATCTGTCAAACTTGAGCTGAAACTCGTCCTCGATCCTCGTAATTGACGCTCCCGAGAATGGCTGATATTGCATATCATACAAAAAGGTGCATCGGACTTTTACACTTGACGCAACAGCAGTCGTGTTCAAATAAAGTGTTTTTGCGCAGCTAGTACCAGACAGGAAACATGTTGAGGGGCCGATCTCTTCGCGCTACAACACCTTGCATATTAGAATTGACCGACCTCAGCTGAAATTCGTTCTCGATCCTCGTAGTTGGCGATCCCGGGGCATGACTGATATTGTATACCATACAAAAGAGTGCGTCGGACCTTTATATTCTAGACCTATGCAATAGCGGTCATGTTGAAATAAGGTATTTTAGCGAACCAACTACATACCCCACACCAGCAGCATGTTGACGGGCCAATCTGGCGCGCTAGTGCACCGATCTGCGCCCTGCATATCAAACTTCAGCTGAAATCCGTCCTCGATCCTGGTAAACGTTCCTAACACGACCGCTATTGCAAGCCATACAACTAAGTATACCTATGAGGAGCAGTAGACCCTTTGCGCTGGGGAATCCGAAGCATTGTTTGACAGGCTTGGCTTTGATTAGCCAAGGAATTATAGATCCACCCTTGCATTGACTCCCTAGAGTACGTTGGCAATCGCCTGATTAGACTTCCATTGCTTGTATCCTTTGTACAATACCACTCATGAGGAGACACTTGCGCACGCGGGTCACTCGCACAGCACCTGAATTGGTTAACGTTGATTGGTTGCAATGATTGAATTTGTTGTAATGCGCTGCTGACCCCTCCCGCGCTAATGCCTACGAGCCTGCTGCCCGGCCGCACTACGCCCGCTGCACTGCCGCACTATCCCTGCCGCCCTGATAGTGAGTGATCTAATACTAATATCATGACATAAATTTCTTTTCGAAGATAATCTATGCTTCCACATACACAACTCGTGTACTTTCAGGAGTTTTTAGGATAGACTTATCTTGCAATTGGTAGAATGATTATTATCGGTATATTATCTGCTGTATATATGTTTTTTCTTTTTTTTCAAAAAGAAATGGATACAATTTGACCCTCTGTAAGTAATACGTTATCTTTCCTGTTCGTGTACCGCATTGACGTACGTTTACAGGTAAAATTGTGGCTAGGCCGTCCGATGACTTAATAACCACCACTGTACTCCTGCTCAACCTCTACGAGTAGATCTGCGATATGGCTCAAGAACCGGCGGGGGGGCACGTGTGTAAACAAAAAAATATCTGGCAATTAAAAAAGCGGAAGAAGATGTAGCCCGCGGTTTAGTATCGCTGTGGCGAAGTGTGGCTGGCTTCCGCGCGAACCCCATCCCCCCCCCCCCCCGCGGGCCTTGAGATTGTCTGCTGAAAGTTTACACCCACCATCGATTCTCGAGCCGTACATCAGGCGCTTGTCCGAAACGTATGAAACCCCCGATCATAAAGGTGACAGCAATTGGCATCGCTAATAACTTTCTAACCAAGCAAGATATCAAGAATCCGTCTATAGAAAGCCCGCTCCTCTATCTTCTAGATGTTCTTTAGCCGGGACTATTTTATCTATGTTTTTTAGGAGTTATTAGAGCTTGAAAACGGGCGTTTTTGTAAGAAGCGCTAAAACTTGAAGTGGAACTGTATTATACCTATTTATACCCTCACCTGGCCCAGTTTATGGCTGGAAATCAATAAATTTAATTTATTTGATTGGTCCAAAAACACCCTGGGTGGCTAAACCTGTTCCAACTGCAATAGTGACATGTCACCTTTAAAGATAGGGCGCACCATACCTGTACTCAAGCAGCGTGAGCCCACAGCAAAGTCCCACGCATGTGAAAGCTCAAAGCGGCAGCCAAAAATGCTCATTGGTGCTTGGATACATGTAGGAATGGTACAAACTGATCAAGAACGCAACACAACCCCGTATTCAACATGATAGTGATAGTAACATCTTTTGTAGAGTACATTTGTCAATTATCCGTGGTTGTAATAGAAAGGTATGTTTCACAAGAGCGAGAACAGTAAATGCAACGGATTCATACATGTGGTCTCCGAACTCGCCTGATGTCAAACTCTCGAGCTGTGGGTTGTAGAGAAGATCATCGATGGAGGGATCAGGCGTTTAAGAAAAGGAATATACATGCTTCAGGGGATTTTACCAGGGCCTCCACGGATTTGATCTTTATCCAAACACGAGCAGTGAAATTACAGCCTCCGCGGCTGGTTACCCTCCATATACCAGTTCGCCAATGCTAGACACTGGAACACTGCGGACAATGAGGAAATGTGATAGCCCACTGCTGTGGTATGGTTCCGGAGGTGTTGAACTTGGCTGGTCCTCTGGAAGGGACGGCGAGGATATCGTCTTGGCGCGAGGGCTAGGTTTCTGTTTTCACAATAACGTGTCCGTCCCCTGCCCCCCGTAGTACCGCTTCTCGCCACAAGATCCTTTCAGCCCGGCTATGTAGACAACCCCCTTCAAGCCAAAACCCGCCTTTCCTCCGAGCTCGAACTTTGCTATACCCCAATCCTTCCGGGGTCTATACCCAACGCGTAGGTCGTGTGGCATAGTCCATGTATGAAGATCTTAAATGTTTTCAAAAATCGTTTCGAGCGCAAAGTAGTGGTCTCGGACCCAAACCCCCACGGCCGCAACAGATCCCTTGAACAGGTATATAGATAGATAGATACACGTATGTATGTAGCTTCCGAATTGGGCTAGGTCTACATACGACCAATATGAGATAACCTAAAAACATGAACCACTTCCGACCTCAGGAGACGATGTGAAGATTCTACAAGTCCAAAAGTAGAGGAAATCTATTGCCGGAATACCTCACAATCCCAGGCTAGATAACGGTAACGGTAACGGTGACATCTTATGTGTGATATACCGCCAGCCCCGAGTCTTGATTAAAGAGTCAGTTTTGGTGAGTGGGAGTTGGAGGAAAGGTTCTGGCACTGTAAGGCGGGGCGCTGTTCTCGTGATGGATGAACGGTATCAAGACTAGAATCAATAGGACCTAATCGAGAGACAGAAGACTGATGGATTAGGAGGCTATTCCTCGGTAACTATCTATCTATATTGTGGTGACCCATCGGGACACAGTATAGGTCCCACATGGTGACACGAGTCCATAATTCTATCTAAGCGCTCACTAGCGCGACAGCACCCAGCGAGTCGACAATATTACGAAAGCGGCGTTCCAGATTTACGTAGTGTTTGGGGAAATGCCAAGGCTAAGCGATAATTCTGTAACTTTTAAACGATTTAATATTGTGGACCGGATTCCACTCGCTTGACGGCCGATGATACCACTAAGTCGAGCCAGAACCGTCTCCTATTTATACATGTTGGAACCTATGCCAAGGCCCACTTCCTAATGCTAAAACATGACGATAATAGAATAACACCATCAACCTGAAGATAACCCCAATAGAAAAGCGCCCCTGTCTAGTCCCGTTCTCCTTCCGAATTCCGACACGTAACCTTGAATCCTTGCAAATGCTAGTAGCCGAGCTGTATCATACTATTGTCCTAGACCTACTACCCAATATCTTTCTATGCTTGTCCTCTCCTTACCCTACCATACTCGCATCACAACCCATCACTCATTTTCTTCACTGTGATTCCTCTTTCCACAGCGTTCCGTAATTTCTACAACATTTAGTACTGTTACCTTTACGGTAAATCATTTCGCCTCATCTTATTATTTGTTTGCATGCTTTATGCGTATTCCGGGATCAACCTGTTTTGAGAGCATAGCACATGTAATGAGAACATGTGTACATATTTCCAAAGCCCACGGCAAGACCTACATCGCAAGACTATTACGGCCGATATGGGACTACCAGCGATATAGGAACATTCCATCGTGGCCAGACAGTATTGGAACCTGCCAAGGGCTCTTTACTGTACTGGACATTCCCACTTCAACTAGACGTTGTGGGGAATAGAGAAATCTTTAGGCTGAGTTGACGGGGTTTTATAGATTCATTCGTTAATACACTTGGTTACAGGGAGTTGGATTAGTCAGAAAGATTCTATTGAATTCTATCGGGTTCTGTCGGTCGTAAGGGTATAAGTCACTTTGGATTTGTTAACGCTGGGATTTCCTTGGGTATATTAGGAGGTTTTCATCCTTGTATTTGTTCTCTTTCTCTTCTCTCTTTTGATACGCAATGTCTTCTGTACCTACGCTATCTATTACTATACAATATCATCACCTCTTCTTTACTCAAGAAGAACACTGCGCTGCTGCTCCTCTTGTCCCGTTGGCCCTTACCAACACTGGAGTTCCTCAAGACCCCAATTGCAGGTTCCCCCACTGACCCCTACTACCTCCTTCGTACCCTGCGGAATACTCACTACTCACCCCATTGAGATATTTATCCGAGAAACTCTCGACCGCCACTCCAAAGCCAAGTGGTATACCAAACTCGACCTTCGACAAGAGTATAATCAGATCTGAATGTATGAGGGTAAGGAAAGGAAAACAGCCTTTCGTACGAGTTATGGGCATTTAGAATACACGGTAATGCCTTTTAACCTCACCAATACACCAACCATCTTCCAACACTTTATCAATGATTCCGTCCGTGACTACCTCGACATATTCTGTACAGCCTACCTTGACAATATTCTCATCTATAGCGACACTGTCGAGGAACATCAGGTACATGTCGAAAAAGTCCTGGAAGCCCTACAAAGAAATGCAGTGTTGCTGAAACCAGAGAAATGCGAGCTTGATACACAAAGTACCACCTACCTCGACCTCATCATCGAACCCAATAGCATTAAAATGGATCCAAGGAAAGTGGGTTCAGTGAGGAACTGGACCATCCCCAAAACAATCAAGAATGTGCAAGCATTCCTGGCGTTCACCAACTTTTACCGCCGATTCATACGTGGGTTCTCAGAACTGGCTTCTCCCCTTACCAAACTGACACGCAAGGACATATCGTTTGAATAGATACTCGAAGCCCAAGCTGCCTTCAACGTCCTGAAGGAAGTCTTTACAACCGCTCCCATCCTCACCCATTTCGACCTTGAGAAGGAAATTACTGTAGAAACAGATGCATTTGACTACGTCTCTGCCAGTGTACTCTCCCAATACCATGATAATGGTACCCTTTGATCCGTCGCATACTTCTCAAAGAAGCGCTCCCCCACCGAATGCAACTACGAGATTTATGACAAAGAATTAATGGCGATCATTCGATCCTCTGAAGAATGGCGACCGGACCTTAAAACGGCTGCATACCCAATCACCGTCATATCCGATCATAAAAATCTCGAATACTTTATGAGTACTAAACAACTCAACCGGAGACAAGCACGCTGGGTGGAATACCTCTCACTGTTCAATTTTGTCATCAAGTACCGACCAGGGAAACAAGGAGGAAAACTGGACGCATCGATAAGGAGATCAGGAAATCTCCCTGAAGAGGGGGATGAAAGGCAATTACAGCAGAGTCAAGTCGTATTGAAAAAGGAGAATTTTGAAGCAAAGCTAAGTTTGTTGACGGGTTCTTTCTCAAACAAACCCGCTGAAAAGAACGCCTCACTGAATAGACTATTCGATGAGAGATATAACACTGACCCGTTTCCACAAAAGATACTGGACATGCGGAACAAAGGTGAACAACAATCAAAGATATATCACTCACCGAGTGTACCAAGGTTGAAGGCCGATTGCTCTAACGAGGTAGCATATATGTACCTGACTATGACCCTCTCAAACTACGGATCCTCAAACTATAGCATGACGCTCTCTCCATCGGAGGCCCTGGACATGAAAAAACATTTGAACTCATCAGTCGTGACTACTACTGGCCCCTGATACGGAATCTTATTGCCCGCAATGTTCGAACTGCTATACCTGTCAACGAAGTAAACTCAATATCCATGGAAAACTCGGTCTACTTCGACCTTTACCGATCCCTGAACAACCATGGCAAGAGGTATCAATGGACTTCATTACTGACCTACCAGACAGCAAAGGGTACGACGCAATCATAGTAATTGTTGATGGATCAACAAAGAAGTGACATCTCATACCCTGCAATACGACCGTCAACTCCGAAGATTTCACCCAGTTATACTTGCGAAATGTATGGAAACTCCAAGGTCTACCACACATCTCACCTCTGACTGCGGCACGCAATTTATAGTCAAAGTCTGAAAAGCTCTTTGTAAACATTTCGGCATCGAAGCAAGAATGTCCACCGCCTTCCAAACGGAGACCGATGGCCAAACTGAAAGACTGAACGCCGTAATGGAAGAAAACCTTAGTAGATACGTCTCGTACCAACAGGATGATTGGGTAAAATGGCTCCCTATGGCAGAATTCTCCATCAACAATAAGGTTTCCGCATCTACCAAAGCCACACCATTCTTCGCGAACTATAGCTTCCACCGCCGGTTTACAGTGATAATTAAGCTGCTTGACAGGATCCCACCAATCCTCAACGCTAAGGGCTTCACTTCGAATATGAAAGAGCTCCACGAATACCTATATTCCAATATCTGCATGGCACAAGACCAACAAGACCAAGTGTTAATGCCAAACGAACGCTTGCCCTACGCTACGATGTCGGTGATATGGTGTTTGTTTCAGCAAAAAACATCCGAACTGCCCGTGACTCTCAAAAATTACACTGGAAGAAGCTGGGACTGTTCCCTTTCAAAGAGATTATATCGCCATATGCGTACCGAATCGAGCTGCCTAGGAGCATGAAAATGCACCCACTCTTCCATGTATCGCTGCTAGACTCCGCTGCAAATGATTCCATCCCTGGGCAAATCCTAACACCACCACCACCTATCATCTTTGAACAGGAAGAGGAGTACGCGGTCGAAGAAATCCTCGACTCACAGGAAACAAAAAATAAGAGCCTGCAATATCTTGTTAAATGGACAGGCTACACCGACTGTAACGGGGGTCCTTTCTAGTAGAAATAGAATCGGATAGAATAGAGACGGCCGTGCAAGATAGACAATCAGGTTGCAGATTATTCAAAGATACTATCGCTAGAACTCAATAATCTTTAAGGGCTCTGCTACCGATAAGAACTTGGTTTTTCTTTCTAATGAAGACTGGAGAGAATCCGACTGAAGGGCGGGAATGAACCTGAGTACTTATACTCCGAAGGCCTCTATTCTCTGCTCCTAACTCCTTACTAAGTTCCGGTGAAGCCTTTCCTCGGTGCCGGAAACAATACCACCACTACCCCGCTTTTCTCTAAGCGTCAGCAGGTGTTTCCGATACCCAAGGCAACCACCCTTAGTCAAAGCCTTTGTAACACCTGCAGCCTTGGTTGCCACACAACCGAGGGCCTGCATGAATGAGCTGCCACTCAGGTGTAAGCTTAATCATTGCTGTAGAGCTTTCACTTATTGTAGACTTCCCTAGCATAGTTCCTGCCCTTCGGCGGACTCATAATGCTTAAGAGGATACAGAGGATCACCGGGCAATCAGAGCTTCACTCTGGCCGGTCTTCTCGTCACTGGCGAGGCATAGACTCGTCAGTCATTGCTCCCATGAATAGATCCCCTTCCTAGCGCCCGGAATGTAGTTACTCTAACAGCTGGTAGTTAACCACACTGCCAGTACTTGCATATCATCGTGCAACTGGCTTCTAACAATAACTCTCAGCATGTAACCGGGCCCTGTGTGTACTCATACACCAGACAGTTGAAATGGCTCCGTTACACCACTCCCCTCTTCCAGGATCTTGGTCTCCGAGATCTATAACTAATCTATTACCATCTATTCTATGTGACAAGAAATTCCGTAATATGCAAGGAATGAAAACCTAAAGAAAAACTACACCCCAACAATCCGCTTGTCCTTGGGTTTCTTAGGATACCTCATATGGAAATCCCGAAGGGCTTTTTCAGCACTCTTCTTGAGATGCTCCCAAGGTTCCCATGTAGCATCTTCATTCTCATAACCTTCCCACAGCACTAGATATTCCACTCGTCTCCCTTTCTTATTGACCCGGCTATCAGCTAACTCTCGGACAACCCAGTTCTGTTCTCCTTCAATCTCCTCGCGTTCCGGTGGCGGAACTCTTCTCTCAGGATCTACCGGTGCTCTGTAAGGTTCCATAAGAGAGATATGAAAGACCGGGTGGATTCCCATTTGAGGGGGAAGAGAGAGCTTGTAGGCACGGGTACCAATAGCTTCTAAGACCTTAAAAGGTCCCATCTTCTTCTGATCCAGTTTTCCCAAAGGCCGCTTTGTTTGCACATTGCGCCGGTCCAACATTACTTCATCTCCGGGCTTGATTTCAGGTGGTGCCAGGGCATGAGCATCATACCACCGGGCCATCCTTAATCTAGCTTTACCCAAGCTGGCGTTCATAGCCTGCCAGATAGATTCCCATTGAGAAATCATGACCTCGCTTGCTGGATTGTTCCATTCTACTCCTTCCTTTGGGGCCGGCCAGTTGGTCCTGGGTTCATAACCATAGTTGGCATAAAAAGCCGATACTTTGGTAGACTCAGAGACCGCCGAGTTATATGCATACTCTGCCAAAGGCAAGAGTTCTACCCAGTCATCGTGTTGATATGAACAATAACTTCGCAAGTAATGTTCCAGGGTCTGGTTAACTCTTTCTGTTTGACCATCTGTTTGAGGGTGAAAGGATGTGGACATCTTCAGCTTCACATTGAGGAGGCTCATGAGAGATTGCCAAAAGTGAGAGATGAACCTACTGTCTCTGTCCGAGACTATGTCATCAGGTAAACCATGGAGTCTCCAAACTTCCTTGAAGAACAACTTAGCCAAATCTTCCGTTTTATTGAGGGTAGGGAGAGGGATGTAGTGTGCCATCTTCGAAAAACGGTCCACTATTACCCAGATTTTTGTAAACCCACTAGATTCCGGTAATCCCACAATGAAGTCCATAGAGATGGAAGTCCATGGCCGATAGGGTATCTCCAACGGTTGGAGCATACCAAACTTCTTGTGTCTTGAGGTCTTATTCCTCTGGCAGCTGTCGCAGCTCCGGATATATTCCTCAACATCCCTATCCATTTTGGGCCAAAAGAAGTTTTTTTTCACCCGCTCTAGTGTCTTGAATTGGCCAAAATGACCAGCCACCTTAGAGTCATGGGTGTCGGACAGTATTTCCATCTGAAGCTTCTTGTCTTTGGGTATATACCATCTATTCTTGTAGAAGATGAGACCGTTCTTGACCGACAAGTTCTGGTCCAAATTTGGTTTCCTTTCAACCAGGGAGCGGTGCAGTTCCTGCCAGAAACTATCCTCTTTAGCAGCCGCATATAGGCGCTCTAAGAATGTATTCTGCAATTGATTCACCCTGACAGCCGCTAGCTTTGCAGGATCCAAAACCAATTGACCTGGCCTAAAAAAGATCTGTGGCTCCAGCTGCAGAGTTTCACCTCCCTCTCCAAGGCGGTGGTCCCAGCGCCTAGATAGCACATCAGTCTTGCCATTCTTTTCTCCCGGTCTGTAGACAACTTTAAAATTATAGCCTGCGAGGTCCTCAGACTATCTAGCTTGCCGCCTAGTGAGAACCTTGGTAGAATTAAAATACTCCAAGTTCTTGTGGTCTGTAAAAACCGTGATCTCCTGCTCGCAAGATTTGAGCATGTGTTCCCATTCCCGGAAAGAGGCTACAATAGCTCCCATTTCCTTATCATGAATGTCATAGTTGATCTCAGCAGGGGAGAACTTCTTAGAATAGAATGCCACCGAATGTAGCTTTCCATCGTCCCCATACTGAGAGAGCACCGCTCCTTTGGCAAAATCACTGGCATCAGTCTCGACCACCGTTCTCCTACTAGGGTCAAAATGAAGAAGAATTGGGGCGCTTGTGAACAGCCTCTTGAGTTCTTCAAAGGCCTGCTCATGTGCTGCCGTCCAATACCATTTCTTGTCTTTTTGCAAGAGGTCAGTTAATGGCTTGCAAACCTTACTGAAGCCTTCAATGAAGCGGCGATAGAAGTTTGCAAATCCGAGGAATGCCTGTACTGCCTTGATATTCTCAGAGACCGGCCATTCCTTAACTGCCTCCACCTTGTCTTCTGACATAGATACTTCTTTTTCCGAGATATGATAGCCTAGGTACTCTACTTCTCGGACATGGAAGGATGTCTTGCTGATCGAGGCACAGAGCTTAGCTTCTCTAAGCTTCTGTAGTACCTTCTTGACCAGTAGCTCATGCTCTTTCTCAGTTTCCGAGTAGATGAGGATGTCATCAATATAGACAACCACTCCTTCATCCAGTAGTTCCTTTAGCACATCATTGATCATTGCCTGGAAGGCGGAGGGAGCATTGCATAGACCAAACGGCATCACATTATACTGATACAGTCCATAGCGGGTTCTCAAAGCGGTCTTCCACTCATCACCTTCGGCTATTCTGATCAAATTGAAGCCGTTCTTCAGGTCTATCTTTGTGAAGATCTTGGCCTTGAACAACCTATCTCTGAGCTCACTCATGATAGGCAGCGGGTACTTGTCCTTGACAGTGACCTTGTTCAAACCTCTGTAATCCACACAAATCCGCAATGTACCATGCTTCTTAGGAATGAACAATATGGGCGCCGCAGCAGGGCTATTAGATCTAGAGATCTTTCCTGAAGCCAATTCCTTGTTCAGGTACTCTCGGAGGGCCTTCAATTCTGGAGCGGAACATGGGTACAGCGGGCCAAATGGGGGAGCGGTACCAGGCAAGAGTTTGATCTTCAAATCATTATGGGAATGCGGCGGCATTTCCCCAATCTTCTCTTGACTGAACACATCAGCCCATTCCCGGTATAGGTGGTGTATTTTCTCAGCAATATCACCTCCGTCCTCATCATGCCATA